CTGTGTGTTTTTTAAGTATACTTTTTATCATTTTAGATGTATTGTTTTGGAAGTTTTGGAGGTTCGTAAGTTTGTTGTCATAAAGACGAAATTTAACAAAATAAGTAATGTATATACATATGAAGGCCAGGAGTTGATGTAGCAGCCAAATAGAGCATAGCTGTATTGAAGGTGGCACTTTGCTACAATGTGTTGATTGTTTTCTATCCTCTAGCAAGTACTTGTCATAATTAGTGTCAAGATTTTTGCCTTGAAATTAGTTTTTGTAAATGTATCTCAGAGCGGGATAGGAGGGTTTGTAAAGGCACAAAGAGGCCTAGTTAGAGTTGAAAGTGTTTTTGGATTGCTAGATGAGGATGTATAGACAGAGCTGAAAGCTAATGTTTTTTTAAAGTCATTTAGGTCGATATGTATCTTTTTTTGCAATCTACTTGAAGATTGTAGAACAGCTTTGTTGCATTATTGTAACAGTATTTAAAATTATAATAATAATTTTTGAGCCTACAGACCTGACAAGCAATTAGTGTATTATCTGATTATAAAGTATAATATCAAGTTTTAAATGTTTGGTTTAGCAAGTTGTGCATTCTTCTAATAACTAGTTTGTTTGTAATTATTCAGCTTTTTTTGTTATGGGTCCAGTCAGTTAAAGTATGAGAGTTTAAACGTAGAGATATTGATAAAGGATTTGTAGCACCTGCTATTAGGTCTTGAATTGTATAGAACCAGCGTAAACATCGACCTCTAGATATTTTCTTGATATTGTGGTGAAAGTTATTCCACTCTAGAAGTTCAGTATTAGTTGTATTTAAAAATTGTTCAATACTGAAGACATTGTGGTTGTTTAGTTTCTCTTTGAAGTAAGAAGCTCTAGGGTGGCATAAAAGGATCTGGTTTATTGAAGTACCAGTGAATTCTTTTGGAAGAGGCCAGTTGTTTTTATTGCATGAGGTTTGTAATCCAAGTGCATGTAGTGCTAGTATCGTTTGGCAGGTTTGTGTATGAGTTTGTATGGTTGAGAAGACCAGAAGTTGTGAAAGAATAGATGTATTGATGTTTGCTGTATCCTGTAGTTGTTGTAGCCATAGCTTTAGAAAGGATGAGTCAAAGCTAGGGTGGTTTAAGTTTTTTTAAAGTGTCAGTGCCAATGATGAAAGCTGGGTTTGAGTTAAGTTGTTTAGTGCATAAATGTTTGGGTTGAATATGAAGGAGTTGGAAACACCTTGTGCTAGTTTTGCCTTATTTTTGATTAATTGAATGCAGGTCTTGTTATAAGTATTTGTTTGTGCAGCTGATAGAAAAAAAGAGTATAGTCGATATAGAAGACAAGGAGTAATAACACTATTGATTATATAGATTGCTTGTTTTTCTATTATGTGAATGAATTGTAGCTTCTTTAAATTAATTACTACTTTAACTATAATTTTTTTTTGTACTAATATTGGCTTTCTATTTGTTGAGAACTACAGGATACAGCAAA